AATATACTGTTTCTACTATATGGATCCAAAAGCCATAATATCTTCAAGAGCAGAGGTAATAGCAAGATGTAACAGTTTTGACATTTATACTTGCTTTTAGTATAATTTACTTAATTATAAGTGTATATAATTAATATTTATTTCATGATGTCGTATTTAAGAGTTGACTAGTACAAATTCTGAAAATTTAATAGCTTTTACAAGCAAGTATGAGCCATCTCCAGCAGACCACTGGAGTAGTCACCATTCTAAATATACACAATGACATACATATTCTATGTCTTGTACTATTAAAACAGGCATATAAAAGTCATGGTTCTCAGCTCAAATATATGATGAAATAATGAAAAGTAGCTCAACAGGAGATAAAGAAAAGGGGTATATTTTTGCCATAAACATTCCATCTATTAGACTATAAATAAAACCATACTCAAATTATTTCTTCTATCAGGTGTCTTTTGTGACTCTCATCTCTTTTTACTCCTAGAGTTCCCCAACCTTTTTGGTACCAGCAACTGGTGCTTCTATCAGAATCTAATGCCTGATGATCTGAGGTGGAGCTGAGGCGGTGATGCTAGTGCTGGAGAGTGGCTGCAAACACAGATGAAGCTCGCTTGCTGCTCACCTCCTACTGTGCAGCCTGGTTCCTAATAGGCCACAGACTTTATCAGACCATGGCCTGGGGGTTGGGGACCCTGTTCTACACTGTCTCATCAGGTAATTTAATCTATTTCCAACATTTAATTATCATCCATTCTGATGATGCCAAATTATTTATCTCCACTCAGATATCTTCCCTGAATTTCAGACTCAAATATATAAACAGATATTGGAAATATATAAACTCTTAATTTTATGATAGATGTCTAACATGGCATGCTGAAAAACAAACCAATTTGGGTTCTCCCTTAAAAGCTCTTTTTGCCTTTGTCATCACAGTAAATGAATGCAAGCATTGAGTGTTATTCTTTATTTCTTCCCTTTACATATTTCTTCCCTTTATTTCTTCCCTAGGTCACTGCAACTCTATGCCTCAGTTACATCTGGAACCCCATTTCCACTTCTGCACTATAGATCAGGTCACCATCATCTCTGGCATAGATCATGAAATAGATTGTCACTGGTTTGCTTGTTTCTAGTCTAGTTAGTCATTTTATGCAAAATGCAAATCAGGTCTCCGGGTTCATACCTTTGCTCTTTGACTCTGTTGGAACACTATTTTCTACATAATAAATACATTATATCATAACAAAGACATAATAAAGACATCATCTTGTGTACTTAGATCCATGTACTTCCTTAATCTTTATTAGAAGCTATTTGAAATATGGAATTTCAAATAAAAAATTTAAAAAAAAGTCTTGATCTACTGCACACTCCTTTTTTATTCCTTTTGTTTTCTCTTTACAGAGAATTAGGCTGCAATCTCCAAAAGATCAGAGTTGTATCATTTCAAATTTGCATCCCCAGTGATGAGTACAGTTTCGGTGTACAAAAGGAAAATAACTTAGTTAAATATTAAGTACTTAATAAATGCCTAATAATAATATTTTATAACTCATAAGTAAGAAAAATATCCAACAAGAAGAGGGACACTGTTATGGATTGAATGTTTGTGTCCTCCAAAATTCACATGTTGAAGTCTTAACCCTCAATGTGATGGTATCAGATGGGACCTCTAGAAGTAATTATGCTTAGATGAAGTCATGAGGGTGGAGCTGTCATGGTATGATTAGAGAAGGGTATCCTTATAAAAGAGAGAGAGAGATCACCATGCCCATGTTCATAGAGAAGACCACGTGAACACACAGCTAGAAGGCAGCTGTCTACTCTTCAGGAAAACGGCCCTCGTCAAGAACTGAAGCTGGCAGCTCCTTGATCTTGGGCTTCCCAGCCTCCAGACTGTGAGTAATGAGTGCCTGTTGTTGAAGTCCCTTAGTCTATGGCATTTGTTAGAGCAGCCTGAGCTGACTAAAAGAGAAGTGTAACAAATGTCATTTTAAAATGAATTCTCTAGAGACATCTCTCTGGACACTGAGTAATGTAGAGCAAATCGATGAGCTAAGCACAGTCATCTCCCTTAAGAAGAGAGGAACATGCAGCCATCATCTAATTCAAGGTGTGATGGAGAGCCATGTGAAATAAACACTGTTGTCAGAGTACCGAGAAGAGAAAAAAATTTCTGAATGAGAGGGTAAGAAAAAATTCACTTGAGTTAGAGAGAAGCAGGCATAACTATGGAGAATGCGGTGAAGGAAAGGAGGCTGATAGACCTGATTAAGGGTCCTCAGAAGAATCTTAAGCTGTAGAACTAAATGGGTATAGAGCAAGCATGCTCTAGAAATGAAAAAAAAAAAAGTAGAGGTTACCAATATGTAATTTATTTTTTAAATTTCCACCAGTAAATTCTTATAATATTGAACTTCCTATTTGATGAAATCTGTGGCTTTTAAAATACACAATGAATATATATAGTATATATAAAATATTTGCATACATGTGTATGTATATGCATGTATACACATATACACGCATGCATGATGTAATAAAAATTTGACTGCATTACCCAATCTTCTGAAAGAAAAATGTAAAAATAAAATGACATTTTTGGAGAGGCTATCTTGTCTTTTGGGCTGAAAATTGCTTACTTGGATGTGTTTCACAGATTTCAGGAAAAATCATTAACATACCCTCCTTTTTTCAAAGAAAGGTTGAAGATTTAAAAATATCAAACAAAAGTAGGTGAGACTAACCATATATCATGAAAAATAAGAATTATTATTTATACTGCTCATGTCACAACCACACTCTGAGCTAAGCACTGGAGAAACTGAGGCACAGAGAGGTTAAGTGATGTGATTGCCTCACATCTCTTGAATAGGCATATCATATTACTGTGGCTATAATTTACTGACTCTGAAAGCTTACCAGTTAAATGTCCTCATTTTTGTATATAGAGGAAAATTCCATGACTGAAGAGTTTGTTTCTTACACACACCCATATGACATTATACTTTCAGTATTTTAAAAATATTATCTGTGAGGTGTCTGCGTACAGATAAGCCACAAGCATATATAAAATACAACTTTCACCACTATTGAGAAGATAAAGAATATGGCCAAACATAAACACCAGAGAAGCTTTTAATGCTAATCTGTAAAATAGAATGCTCTATAGTAAATCAACTTAGATTTATTGAACTTTATCTTCAACAATTGGACTTTTCTGTTATTGTTTTTGAAAAACGAGCAAACCAACCTCATTTAAATGCTTCCTATCTTTTTATGTGATAAGCCTAAAGAAATGATAAATATTTATTATTTATTTCATCAAGAAGACATACATTTATTTATAGTAAATCAGTTAAGTAACAATCAGTAATTTCCTCCACACATTCAAGGTCATAAGAGCCCAGTTTTAATAATGGGCTTAAATAAACATACTTTGACTTGGAGACAAATGTAATGTGCCATAAAATTACAAAGCTAATTTGCCCAAAGTTGTCAGACTTAATAAGGCTGAACCATTGTTCCTTCCTTAGACTAACACTAAATGGAGGCAGTAATGGTTTCCCGGTAGGTAGATGAGACTGTCTGGGTAGCTATGCATTTAACCAGTGACCAGATTCAATACATTTATCCAGGGCTTTTCCAAAACATAAAAAATACATTATTATGCAACTTTTCCCTGAATTTGGGTAAGTAAACAAACATTTTAGAGTTTTCAATGAAGGGGCAGGAAAAATAAAGTAGAAAAATATTGGCCTAACATTTTTGAGATCTTGTAGTATATAATAAAATCAAAGAGAATAATAAGATGAAATAGAAATACATGTTTTAAATGATTTTTGACAAAGAAACTTGAGATTACACAGACTGATCTATGCAGCACACAAATCCACAAAGCTACAGGTAAAAACTGAACATTAGAATATTTACTTTGTTTCACCTATTTTTGAATCTCCATCCTAAAAAGAGCACTTCCCTATTCTACAACCATTTATATCCCCTTTAATCCCCAAAGAGGGAATCACAGAAATATCATTAAGAAATAGAACCCAGATGTGAGACATCACTGGGCAATGGCATGGGTGGTTCTTAGGTTTTCCTGGGCCCATCCCTAGAGCCTGGCATTAGAAGTGGCACTGGTATCTATAACATTTATTTTATCAGGGAGAGATCCTAATGCAGGTAATATGAAAGCCGGCACTTTCCAATAAATATGTACTGCCTGAAACTAAACCCTTTTCTCTAACTATTTCAGATTGTTAGAATTTATTTAAATGTAGATCCTGCAAATTGAAGGTCCTGAGGATTGAGGCAAAAATAGCATTGACATTCCCCTGTGCCCTCTCTGAAGTAGGGTGGTGGGGGAGACTCAGATAAAGATTTGCTTGTCAATTGGTCTCAAAATCTCCTGGGGAGTTTTGAAAAATACTAATGACTGAAATACAACCAGAAAAAAATTTAATTTAATAGATTGAGTCCCAAGCGTCAGGATTTTTTATAAGTATCCCAAGTGAGTCTAATGTGCCGGCAGTGTGGAGAACTATGGACTTAATTTTGAAAAAAATATACCTCCTTTTGTAAGGATGACGGTTTACCCTAGGAGAAAATATTTTCCGTATTAAATCTCTGGTGTTCACTCTAATGTAATACAAGATATTTCTTTTAACTAATTGTAAGATAATAATAATTAGCATTTTTTTTAGCAAAAGTTTAGAATATTATTTCAGAATAATAATTATTATGATTATAGTAACAATAACAATTGTTATTTTACAATTAGATGACCCTGCCTAAGAATCTGCTGGCTCTTTACTGAAGACCATTCTCCAGCGACAATAGCAACTTTATAAATTGGTTTACTATGTTCCATTTACTTTCTAATCTTTTAATCACTTTGATATCTTACTTGGATCCACACTGATGATTGTATAGAGTGAACTCTACAGAGTATGTCATTTGATTTTACTTTTCAAAACACAAATAATGTGTACCTTGCTTTCCATCGTTGCGTCTGGAATCGCAGTGTCAATTGCCTTGGGTAGAAATGACATATGAGTTGGATTTGACCTTGTTAGACTCAACGGGGATGGTTGATCATTGAAAACTGTTGACAGACAGAGGTTTACAGTCTCTTTCATTGCTTTCAGTTGCGACTCCTACAAAAAAAAGAGATCACCATTTTTACATGTAGTTCTGGTTATCATTTATCTGATTAGATTCTGTTTTCCTCCTAGTCTACACTCACTTCTCACACAAGTACGTCTTAGTTTTCAAACATAATTGCTAACTCGTAAATTCTGTTATGACACCCTATTTAATGCACACACTCAGTTTGTTTTTAGGGGCTAATGTGGTTCATGATATTTTCTGAACACTGAAATTTAGAAACATGTTTTACTTTCCCCCCTTAAATTGGCATGATTTCAATCATGATGGTTTGCTGACAAAAAACATTGTACTCACTCTGAAGTAGAAAATGTCCTTCTTAGAAATTTGCCATCTTTTGATTACTATCAACATCTTTTATTACAAATCACTCCCTGAGCAATGTAAGCTCCCGCGTTTCTCAGATTAACCTAACCCCCACCGCTGCGCCCGCCTCAATTTCCCACATCGTAGGAAGAACAAGTTTGTTTCCGATAAAACCCTTATTTCCTCTGGGCCTTGTTAAGAGGTAGAAGTTAATTTGCTGTGATTGTAAATGGTAACATTAATACTTTCTTATATTAATATATCATAATATTCTAGGCACTTTCACATGCAAAGAATAATTTTATGTTTTCAAACATCTGTGAAACTGACATTATTATTATTTTACTAGGAAGAAAAGAAAGTTCAATGTTTTTATACTAGTTTATTTTTGGTTTACATAACAAAGCAGACTGTACTAACATGGACAACCATCTTTACCTCTCATCTAATTGCCAGCTCCCACTTCTAAAAATGTTTTTAAATGCTGGTAAGTTAATAATAATAATAATAATAATAATAACAATACAAAGCTGAGCACAAATGACAAAGATTCTCAGGTAATAATAATAATAATAATAATAATAACAACAATATAAAGCTGAGCACAAATGAAAAAGATTCTCAGATGCTAAAGTGAAGAGAGACATACAAATTTTTGGAAATCTCATGGTAACTCAGGGGTAATTTGGGGCATGCTTATAGGTCCTAATAAGAAACTGTCACATAAATATTGATTTCAAGACATGAAATGTGGCCTTTGCTTCAAGAGACATGAAGAGAGAGATTAGTCACTGGGACCAAGATCCCTGGACAAGTTGGCACACATGGAGTTTATCCTTTCAGTGCATTCATGGATCAGCGAAGCAGGAAAGTCTGTTTTCTCTTTCTGTCAAAGTTGTATACATCCAACAAAACTACAGCCTTTTATATACTATGCCAGAAATACACCTACACATAGCATGCTCCTCTCTATTTCTTGTCTCCTTTAAATCCTTCATGGTCACAGTGACTCTGACTTAGATCCTTCCCAACACCTACCTCTGTGCTTTCTACTCGCATTTGGTATATCATATTTATCTTTAAGTCAAGAGTATCTATCTTCAGAATAATGGTTTAAGAAAACTCTCTTAGGTCATGTCAAGAGATTAAAAAAAAATAGCAATAAGAGCAGTAACTGGAAAATATAAGACATATGGCAGACATGCATTTCCTTCTCATTAATCTTGCCCTGTCAAAGTGTCTAAGACAAAATAAGAATCTGATAAGGACTAGGAAGGAACATTAAGTGGACAGAAGGGGGCTAAGCCGAATGATGACTTTTTACTCAAAATGGCCCCTTTTATTTGCTTTTCTGAGCCCCTAGATTCTTCCCCTTCCCCTATATCATCACTTTTCTTGACTGATCCTGTTGTTTCCTCCATATAATTTATTGCCATTTTTTTAATTATGTATATACACACACATACATAAGTTGCCTATTTTGTTTAGAACTGTATATCTAGCACTTAACACAGTTCCTGAAACATTATAAGAGACTCAAGAAAAAGTTTTTTGGATAAATAACTTAAAAACTTAGGTGAAAGTGTGTCTGTATGCCAGGGAAAAAATTGACAAACTTATACCAATAAAAATATGAAATAATAGTTCAAATTTCTCTTCCTATTGGTTCCTTGGCTAACTCTTCCCTTCTCTCATTACAGAATAGGAGATCATGACATTGGGAGCTATGTCAGGAGTGAGATATTCCAGATGACACTGAACATCTTAAATTTGTTTTCTGTTTTGCATATTATAGTGAGACAATGAAAACAGAGCTAATGCAACAGTGTCAGGTCTTAGCCAGGACTTAAAGCTAATGTGGCTTTGAAATGTAGAGTTCAATGCTCAGATCATGCAGGAAGGAATGATGGTCATTGTATTCACTGTGTTTATATCTTGGCTCCTCCTAACACACTATACATCTTAAAGTTGTATCTGTAACAGGCTTAAGGTATATGTTGCCATAACAGACAAATTCCAAAATAGTGGCTGAAATTGGATGTTGAAAATAAATAACAAACGATATTGAATTAATAGTTTCAAACACTGAATAAAACTATAAATGGGGATGTGTATATATGTTATATTTTTAATCGTCTGAACTTTGGTGTGATCGTCTCATCTGTTCCCACATTGTCAGGATCATCTGAGATAACAGAAACAATATCATCTAGATGTGACCTCCAACTCCTCACCTTTCATAGCTACAGGAGTAAGCTCTCTTTGCTCTTATGTTTCAGCCTATCTTTAATCTCTTAGCTTCTGATTTTATTCCCTTTTGAACCATAAGCCTGTGACTTTGCCTCCTATGTCAGATTCTGTCTCCAGTCCTTGGTTACATTGTAGATTTTTTTTTTTTTCCTGCCAGAGATAGCGGAATGCTGTGAGCAATGCCTGCCCTAACTTGGTCAGATTTTTACCAAAGCACATAAACAAACAAAACCCCCAGCTTTCTATTTAGTCTAGTCTAGAGTCTGTTACAGACACTCTTCAGGTTTGGCTTGATCCAGTTCCATAAGCAAGACCCAGACAATGACTTTATACCACAATATCACTACATTTTCATTCATTCTGCTAGCTGTAGTCTGAAACTTCAAGCTACTGTTCACTCTGAAGTTCACTGGAATAAGACATCACCTAATGAAATATGATTTGAATGATATAAATATACTTTGCCCTAGATCTTATAACCTATTTCCTCCTAAGGTCAGTCTTGCTTTTGCCCTGCCTTCTGCCCACACCAAACCACTTTTCCATTTGCTTCGAAACTCCTTAATAAAGACCTGCTTGTCATAATGTCTTTTATGTATAGCTCATCAAACATTCCAAGCTCATTTGCATCTCAGTCTTTATATTTGCTGTTTCCCCTGCCTGCAGAATCTTTTTCCAAATAGCTATGTTGGAAATTTTCAATTAAAATTTATATCTCAAAAACATAATAAAATAAAATAAAATAAAATAAAATAAATAAAATAAAATAAAATAAAATAAAATAAAATAAAATTTATGTCTCAGCTCACATATTATCTTATTGGAAACAGAGCCCCTGATCATCCTTTCAAGGAATACTCCTTCCTTAAAGTCTCCATTGCATTTCTTAAATTATGTCCTATATAGCTTTTGTTATCATTGCAAATTATCTTACTGTTTATATGTTTATTGTTTATCTACTTCTATTACAATGTAATTTCTTTGAAGGCTAGTATCTTTTTCACAGCATCACCAGTTTCTAATTTAAGAAATATTTGTTAACATAAATGAAGCAAATCCTCCATAGCTGCCATTTTACATGAGAAAATTACAAAATATTTTGTACTTTATCCTGCATATTATATAACATAAGAAATGTATTATTTTCGACACTAAAATACAGCTTGTGCTGTATAATATGTAAAGCTTATAAGAAATTATTGTGCACGTATATGATCTTAAAACAGTGGGAGATTTAGAAGGTATTTCTTGTGTGTTTGTGAGTACTTTTTTCAGAAAAATGTATTTTTTTTATGAACAACAAGATATACATTGCAAAGACAAATGTGCTTCTAATTTCTCATCTCCTGACAAATAAACATTCATACGATATTATTCATGTCTATCTTAATTCATTTACATGAAGATGGAAGTCCTTAGAGAAAGCTGGGTGTAATATCAGCTGCTGGCTTTGGAAAGACCATGAGGGGTTGTGATTCCAAAGGCTTTCCCCTTAATTTTATTTCTGCAATAAAATCACCTTTGTATATCCTGAAAGATCATTTAACATTCTCAGCTCTCTGCTCTAGGTGAACTCTAGGTCTCTTGTATGTAGGATGAATAGCATGTTTATTAATTTATCTTCATTTGTCTATTTAATCAATAACTATTTATCATGCTCCCATTATGTGCCAGACACACTGTGGCAAAAAGAGTTCTCATTCTTTTAATACTTAGTCACAAAAGTCTATGTAGGTCACCTATCTTGTGTCATCTGTAATATGGATGTATTATGCAGGCTTTCTTGAGTGAAAATTTATGAGATCAGATGTGATAGAAACTTTTTTTTTTAATATGAAAGTTTGAGAGATAGTTTTTATACCATAAAGTTGTTTTTACATTCCAGTAGCTGAGGCTAACTATAATTCATAAGATATTGCCAAATAAATAATTGATGGTTTGAAAAACCAAGGTCGAGACTCAGATTTTGAGGTTATTATTATTTATATTAGGATAGTAAACTGAGACTTCTTTCATTGAAAATGTTATGAGAACCAAGTTGGAATGTAAAGATGTTTTCATAATATTTATGAGATATTGAAGGTTATTTGAAGCCCAGGTAGAACATTCTTAGGAACTAGACACCTGAAGAGCATAAAGAAGTCTCATACAAAGATATAAAGATGATGGAGAGAGGTGATGAGCAATTTCATTAAACTGAAATTTTTTTATCCATTTTGAAGTGAAATAGCATTTCTATCTGACTTTATGACTACGGTTTATGAGCCTCATATATATCTTACATGAAATTTGTTGAAATTAACCTCTAGTAATAGAAAACACTATAGTTCACGGTAGCAAAAGGAATGACAAGATACTGGAGGTTAAAGAGAGAAATTGTTATCACAGAAAGGCAATCTCCATGATCTCAGTCACTAATAATAATAATTATTAT